GGCTCACAACCAAGTCAGAGGGGGGGTACAAATAAGAAAAAAGAACGCGAACAAAACAATACCACAATTTAAAACACACAACAACCATACCATTCGAGGGGGGACAAAAAACTCATTAGCCCCAGGCCTGTCGGAACAGCCAGGTTTTAAGGGCTTTACGGAAGGCCTGGAGGGTGGTGAGTGTCCGAATCCCCACGGGGAGCTCGTTCCAAAGGGCCGGAGCATGTCAGACGTGGCCCACCATCTTGCTTCTCATTCCAGTCAACACCACATAAGCATTCCCTCTTCACTCCCTGACCTTGTTTGGCAATTCTCAACAAATCTATAGTGTTATTCAATTTATTTTTTGCTGACGTAAACCTGTGTCTCTATTATTCCTAGAGAGTTTTAAGATAATACAATTTCTTCCCCTGTTACTGATTTTTTTGAATTCCTACCTGTGGCAGATATAAGTCGTATTGTCACAATTACCATTATCTTTGAGTTGCATACACTGAGTATTGCTGAAGCCAGTTTTTTGAAGAGAAGTTATTTTAAAATACTAATACTGGTTTGTATAACTTCCTTTCTTGTGTCTTTTTTAGGGATTCTTTAGTAGACGACTTAGAGGCTCAATCAAAAGAACAAAGAGCCAATCTAAGCTAGATAGGAATACCAGCTTTCGGCGTCAGACCATTGAAGAAAGGTAAGGGCAAAAAGGATTATTTGTTTTCCAAGAATTTGGCGAGGTATATTAATCTGCATTAGTACATACAAAAACCACTAAGAAGTTTCACTTAAAATAAACTGACAATTTTTTTCTACCAGAAATGTTCCACTTAGGTTTTACAATCTACGATTTAAAAAACTCAAGGAAACCTTTGCCATTGGGGGGGTATGACGTCTCACTCACTGACCCACCAAAGCCTGATGCAAACTGGTGAATGGGTTAACTTACCAGAATAGTTTCCCAAAGGGCAGTTGTACTTGGAGTTTACTTAGCAATAGCAGTTAGACTTATATACCGCTTCATAGGGCTTCCAGCCCTCTCTAAGCGGTTTACAGAGTCAGCATATTGCCCCCAACAACAATACCTAGGACGCTGGCAGCAACCCGTATCAATCATTAGCACTAGTCAATGGTTTTTGTGATGCATTTTTGAATGTTCAATTGACTGAGTTTCATGTTTAATGAATAAAGTATAATAATAATAGCACTTAGACTTACATACTGCTTTACAGGGCTTTCCAGCCCTCTCTAAGCGGTTTACAGAGTCAGCATATTGCCCCCAACA